ACCTCAGGCGATCCGCCCGCCTTGGCCTCCAAAGTGCTTGGATTACAGGCGTGAGCCACCACGCCCGGCTGCTTGATTCTTTTAACTAGGTCAAATCAGGTGATTTCCCTGATTTTCCTCCATGACAAGCGTTTCCTGAATATAGCACATTGTCACTTTGATATTTTCTCATCCTTGATGGTAAAGTAAGTGAAGGGTAAAAGGGCTGAATTAAAAGTGTAGCCTCCTCTCCTAGATGTGCATGGGTCCTTTGGTCTGTATCTGCACCTTCCATAGGGGAGCCACTAGCTACATATGGCCATTGAGCACTTGGAATATGGCCACTGGGATTGAGACTGGGTTTTTTATTTTAATTTTATTTTGTTTTAAGTAAGTTTAATTTAAATAGCTACATGTGGACATGAGCTGTATTGGACAGCTCGGGCCTATATTATTTTCAAAATGTAATCATGTACAATTACAGGTTGACAATAACAATGCAACAAATAACATTCCAACCCCCTCTCCCCGACATGAACAGTATTGGCTAGTGGTCAGTTAGATGAAGATTAAGGGGCATAGGGTAGCAGGGACATGTGGTCGATGAGAGATGCTCTCTTTTCATTTCAATTTTTACCTCTGTCCAGCCCACCGTTCCTTCTCACCCCACATCTTGCACATATTTGCCAGATAGTTTCCTCCAAGCCAGGAGCTGAGTTGTTTTTGTTTTGTTTTTTGTAGATAATGTAGCTTTGGGCCGAGCACAGTGGCTCACACCTGTAATCCCAGCACTTGGGAGACCAAGATGGGTGGTTCATGAGACCAGGAGATTGAGACCATTCTGGCTAACACGGTGAAACCCCATCTCTACTAAAAATACAAAAAAAATTAGCCTGACTTGGTGGGGCAGGAGAATCGCGTGAACCCGGGGGGCAGAGGTTATGGTGAGCCTAGATCATGCCACTGCACTCCAGCCTTGGCAACAGAGTGAGACTGTGGCTCAAAAAAAAAAAAAAAAACTCAGTTTTGGCATTTTTGCTAAGTTTTATGGAGGGCCAGGCCTTGAAGGAAGCACGGTATGTGCCGCATGCCTTCTCAGTCTCTGAAAGATGAACTGACTGTTGTCTCTGTCACTGTAGAACTCTTCCTGCCAAGATGTCTATTGGTGTGCCGATTAAAGTACTGCATGAGGCCGAGGGCCACATTGTGACCTGCGAAACGAACACCGGCGAGGTATATCGTGGGAAGCTCATTGAAGCAGAGGACAACATGAACTGCCAGGTATCCTGCTTTGCACATGAGGCTATGTGGAAGGAATGGACCTGTGTCTCAGAGGAACGGAAAGGTGTGGGGGTCTTTGAAAAAAAATTATTCTCATTCAGCAATGATTTTCTTTTTTTGTTTTTTTCTTATTTTTATTTTTCTTATTTATTTTTTATTTTTCAGCAGTGATTTTCTGAGCGCCTAATGCATGCCAGGCGCTGTTATGGGTTCTGGGAATGTGGGCATGAACAAGGCACAGTCTTGAGGCAGGAAAGCCATTCGGAGGTTTCGAATATTTTACTTTGTCCTTTTTGTTTTTTCCATCCCCAGAGTTGGGGGCCTATTTGAGAGAAGTGCTACTTCAGTAGAATCCTTCAGATTCAGAGCCATTATCCATTTGCCTCCACTTGCCTTGTGGTTAGCAGAATCTTCTCACATACTGTATTTGTTTCCCTTTTCTCTTGGAGGGAGAATCTCATTTGATGATTGCAACTACCTTGTGAGGTAAGCAGGTTTGGTGATAGTCTTGACATCCATAAAATAGGGAGAATGAGATTAAAGGACTCATCACTCTGATGATAAATAATGGAGTCGTTTTCCTGATATGGTTTCCTTCTTATGGCACAACTTGGCCTTTTGCATAGTCATCTGAATTTTTAGAGTATTGTTTTTCAATTATATCTTCACACTTTCTTTGTTTAAACTGTTGGTTAAAAACTTGGGCTTGGGAGTCAGAGATGTGAGTTTGAATCCTAATTATATGACCTTAATTGTATTAACCACTCAGTTTTCTCATCTGTAAAATGGGGGTGATACTGTTTTGGGTTCTTTGACGTGGATGCCAAGACAGAAGTATGCAAGGTATTTATTGGGAGAAATGAGAAGGATAAAATAGCAAGGAAACAGTACTAGGTAGGGAAATTTTCAGTCTGTGAAGCTGGTCTGGCTGGTGAAAAGAGAAGGGAAAGGAAAGAGGATTGAGCAGGAAGAGCCTTAGACTACAGCGCAGTTTCGAGGAAGTCTCAGCAAAGCAGCGATTGCTCATTGGAAGAGTCTGGCATGGGGCAGAAATGGGTGGACTCGTACCTCTGGTGTGTTCAGTCCATTGGCTGGCAGCCTGGGGAGAGAGTAGCCTCAGGTTGAATAAGATGGAGACTGCTGGCTGCCTGCACTCCTCATATCCTGTTCTCTTTTGAAGGGAGATCTGATTAGCACATCCCTGAGACTGCCACAGGAGTAATGTCTACACCTCCGGGACTTTTAGAAAGATCAGATGAGTTACACATGTGCAGTACTAGCTCAGTGTCTCACATATTGTAAGTATTTAACATACGGTTCCTACTGCTTTTTTCCAGATGAGAAGGTCAGAGAGGTAAAGCGTCTTACACCACAGTCAGGCATCCTAACCATCCATTGCTTTGCAGGGATCATTTATTTGTGATTTTTTTTGTAGCTGTGAGCGTCTGTCATTTTCCTTCAAGGTTGACAAGCTTGGTCAGTTCCCTGGCATGCAGAGAAGTAGACCTCTGGTGACTCAGGTTTATCACATCACTGTTAATAGATCAGTTTACTGACAGTAGATAGGTCTATCATCTATAAATAGATTGTTGGTGGATCAGTTTATCATCTGTCCTTCATAGATCCAGTCCTCTGGCCTAAGGCGTACTCATCCTGAGGAAAATGCAAGATTTGGGATAGTGAATCTTAATGAGTTTTTCAACTAGCTGTATGTATTTGGACAACTTGCTGGGGTTCCAGGGCCTTTGACATCCCATCCGTAACGTGAAGATGTCTAACCAGATGACCTTGGTGGTCATTCAGAGACGCAGTCAACGTGACACAAAGTGCACAGACCTTGGTGTCAGACAGACCTGGAATCCGCTTGTAGCCTGTCACCTACTGTGACTTAGGGTGAGCTTTGGACCTCCCTCATCCTCTGGTCCCTCCTCTAAATCAGGGATAAAAATAGCTCATTGGCGGCAGGAGGAACCGTAGTGCAGAGGATGCATGTCACATACCTGACCACAGGTGGGGGGCAACCACCTGCCTCCCTTCTTGTATTTGTGTGCTGGTGCTGCCATAACAGAGTTCCACAGACTGGGCAGCTTAAACAACACAAATTTATTTCCTCATAGTTCTGAAGGTTGGAAGCCTGAGATCAAGGTGTTGGCAAGACTGGTTTCTTCTGAGGGATGTCAAGGAAGGATCTGTTCCAGGCTTTGCTTATAGATGGCTCTCTTCTCCCTGTGTCTTCACTTGGTCTTCCTTCTATAGTGTTTCTGTCCACATCTCTTCTTATAAGGATACCAGGCATATTGGATTAGGGCTCGTCCCAATGACTTCATCTTAACATAATTATGTCTGTAAAGTTGTGTTTGTTTGTTTTTGAGACAGAATTTTGCTCTTGTCTCCCAGCTGGATTTCCATGGAGCAATCTCAGCTCACTGCAACCTCTGCCTCCTGGGTTCAAGCAATTCTCCTGCCTCAGCCTCCCGAGTAACTGAGACTACAGATGCCCACCACCACCATGCCCAGCTAATTTTTGTATTTTTAGTAGAGACGGGGTTTCACCATGTTGCCCAGGCTGGTCTTGAACTCCTGAGCTCAGGCAATCTGCCTGCCTCAGCCTCCCAAAGTGCTAGGATTGTATGTATGAGCCACTGCACCCAGTCTTTTTGTTTTTTTGAGGCTAAGTCTTGCTTTGTTGACCAGGCTGGGGTGCAGTGGTTTGATCATAGCTCAAGAGTTCCTTTCACCGCAGCCTTCCGAGTAGCCGGGACTACCAGTGTGCACCACCATACCTGGCTAATTTTTAAATTTTTTGTAGAGGTGTGGTCTTGATACGTTTTTCAGGCCAGTGTCAAACTTGTGGCCACAAGTGATCCTCCTGCTTTGGTGTCTCAAAGTGCTGGAGCCACTACATCTGGGCTGTAAAGATTTTTTTTGTCTCTAAGTATGATCACATTCTGAGGTACTGGGTATTAGGACTTCAACGTGAGAAACGTGGTTTAATCCATAACAGGATGTAGAGGCTTCACTGGGTCTACCAAAACCTAGGCACATTGAATAAGAACCAGCAGACTGTGGCGTAGTTAAAGCCAGCAGTGGGTGAACACTGAACACAGTTTAGTTTGTTCAGCACATCTCAGGCTGTGAGGCTTATGGCTCCTGTGGTACACCATATGCTGTCTGTCCTTCCCAGACCCAATCATTCTGCCTTTTGGGAATGAGAACATCCTCTCAGCACTTTTTCTTGCTTGTTCAGTAACGTTTTCTGTTACAAAAGTGGGGTGGGACCAGGTGGGGTGGCTGCCCCTGTAGTTTCAACACTTTGAGAGGCTGAGGCAGGAGGATCACTTGAGCCCAGGAGTTCAAGACCAACCTAGGCAACATGGCAAGACCTTGTCTCTAAAAAAAAAATAAAATAAATTAGATCGGTGTGGTGGTACATGCCTATAGTCCCAGCCATTCAGGTGGAGGGGAAGATAGGAGGATTACTTGAGCCCAGGAGGTCAAGGCTGCAGTGAGCTATGATGGCGCCACTGCACTCCAGCCAGATCTCACACGCACACACACAAAAGCACAGCACAAAGATTTGGAAAAGATGAGAGAGTCCCACCGAAACAACTTTTGGCTGTTGGTATGGACTCTTTTCCCTGCATGTTTTTAGGGTTTTATCTTTTTTTTTTTCTTTTTTAGGAGCATAGATTGAAGTTACCCTGAATATGCACTCCCTGTTTTGAGGTTTTATTATTCCTCTTCATTTATTTTTATTACTATTATTTTTTGAGACAAAGTTTTGCTGTTATTGCCCAGGCTGGAGTGTAATGGCATGATTCCAGCTCACTACAACCTCTGCCTCACAGGATCAAGAGATTCTCCTGCATCAGCCTACCAAGTAGCTGGGATTATAGGCATGCGCCACCATGCCTGGCTAATTTTGTATTTTTAGTAGAGACGGGGGGTTTTCTATGTTGGTCAGGCTGGTCTCGAGCTCCCGACCTTAGGTGATTCATCCATCTCTGCCTCCCAGAGTGCTGGGATTGCAGGCATGAGCCGTCGCGCCTGGCCTATTTATTTTTTAAATAGAGGATCTCACTCTGTTGCCCAGGCTAGTCTTGCACTCCTGGACTTAAGTGATCATCCCACCTCAGCCTCCCAAAGTATTGGAATTACAGGCCTGAGCCACACCTTCCCTGTTTTGGGGTTTTAGTATTTACTTTTTATTCTGTCCCCTTTCAGAAATAGTTAGACCCTGTCTCTTCAAAAAAAAAAAAAAAACAAAAAAAAGTTTAAAAATCAGCTGGATGTGATGGCTTATGCTTGTAGTCCCAGCTACTCCATAGGCTGAGGCAAAGGGATCACTTGAGCACACTTAGCAGTTCAGGCTGCAGTAAGCTCTGGTCGCAACACTGCACTCCAGCCTGGGTAACAAAGCAAGACCCTATCTCTAAAATTAAAAAGATTCCATGGCAGGATAAAAATAGATAAATAGATTAATGGTGCATGTAAGTTGGGGTAGAACATAAAATGAAGCCCAGTAGTCAGTATCCAGAAATGTAAAGCTGAATCCCTGTATACAAATAAAGGTATATTCCAGTGTAAGGTTAAGCAGGGAAGATCATCAGTTCCAAAATGCATAGTGTTCTTAAGTTAAAATAGCAATCAGGTGGATTTCCTGGCACTGATACAGGAGACACTATTAGAGGATGTTCTCAACAACAGCCCCGTATACAAAATATGCTTTTATGATCCCTCAGGTAGCTTTAAGGTACCCTGTTACCATAGCACTGTTTTTGACATTTGCATATGTAAAAGATGGCCAGGCATGTTGACTCATGCCTGTAATCCTAGCACTTTGGGAGGCTGGGGCAAGAGGGTCACTTGAGCCCAAGAGTTCGAGACCAGCCTGGGCAACATAGACCCTGTCTGTCGTCTGTGTGTATTTTTTTTTAGAAGGAAATATGTATATGTGAAACCTAGGCCAAGGTCCCTGAAATGGTGCTTATTGGGTCAGA